TCTGAGATAAGCTTCCCCCCAGGCACCAGCCTACCACATTCTCATTGTGTGTGTTGATATTCCAAATAAATAATTTTCCTTATACCCCCCTCAAGAAAGATTACAATTAGATATGAATAAAAAATTCTGTTGTGCCATTGCACAGTAGGGTAACTACAGATAACAACAATGTTCTGTACATAAAGCTAGAAGAAAGGGCTTTGAACGTTTTCACCATGAAGAAATGATAAATGTTTGAGGAGATACATATTGAACCTGATTTAAACATTATACAATGTATACATGTATTGAAACATCAAACAATAATCCATTAATATGTATATTTTTATGTACCAGTTAAAATTGATTTTAAAAATACACTTATCCTTTGACATAGCGAATCTAGTTATAAGAATTTACCTCCAATGATGTAAGGGCATGAATACAAAGTGTATTTTTATATTAAATTTTGTTTGTTTCGTCAACTTCACCTATCTATTTGCAGAATATTTTAAATAAACTTGAGCATTTTCATATGTTTAAAAAAGTACAAAACAATGTGTTTATTTGGTATGTATCTGGGTTCAAATGTATATCCATACATATTCAAAATTCTACACATAGCCCAGAGGTGTGGTTAGAAGAGAATATTATTTTCATTGTGTTTTGTTATTCTATTTGAATATTTTTTTGTTATGTACATACATTACTTTTCTTGTATTAATAGTTTTTTGAGTTGAGTTTATGTGGTATAAATTTACCAGTTTAAAGTTTCTGTTCCATTAGCTTTTCTTATGTTTACAGAGTTGTGTATGTATCCATTCCTACAATCTAATTTTAGATCCTTTTTATTTCCCCATAAAAGAAATCATATCCATTATTAGTACATCTCCATTACTCCTTACTTTTTCAACTTTAGGCAACCATTATTCAACTTTCTGTAAGTAAATTTGCCTATTTTGAAATTTCATATAAATAATGTGCTACAACGTGTGTGACTGGCTTTTTTTACTTATCATAATATTTTTGTGATTTATCATGTTGTAGTTCAACAAACATATTTTAAATTGAAAAAATATTTTAGGGGCTGGGGTTGTGGCTCTGTGGTACAACACCTACCTAGCATGTGTGAGGCACTGGGTTTGATACTCAGCACCACAAAAATAAATAAATAAATAAAATAAAGGTATGTATCCATATACAACCAAAAATACAAAAACAAATTTTAAAAATCAATGTTAAAATAGCATTTTTAAAATTACTCATTTAAGTATATTTTATAATGGTTTTGTGGTTTGGAATTATAGAGAAATTATTTATTGTGAATAGGTACCAATTATTGAACATCTACAATGTACTTGTCACTCTATTAGGCTTTTTGTATGTTTTGTCATAGCATTTAATCCTTATAACATATGTAATAGCATGAATTATTTCTACAAATGAACAAATGAAATATTTTTTGTGTTGAGTTGCACAGAGTATGAAAATGTTGTGATGTATAAAGATAACCATATGCAAACACATACTTTACGACCAGAGTTAAATTATGTAAAGTGCTATAACAAACACTTTTATAACACAGTAAAATATTGTTCCCTAGGTAGAGATGTCCAATAGAACCTTTTATAGTGATGAAGATGATCTATACCTGTTCTATGATAAACACTACCACATATGTCCGTTGATATATGCATAGTGTGAATGAGGAACTCAATTTTAATATTTAATTTAAACTTAAATAACTGCTTCTGGACAAGATTTCCTAACAGTGATTGAATTTACTCTCCCAATTTAAGCATCTGAGTAGTTAAAAAAAAAAAAAAGGACAAAATACATGAAACTATGGTTTGTAAGAACCTAGACATTAAGCACTGAAGGCCAGGGATTCCCTGAGACATGAAAATTAATGAAATGAGCCTATTATTATTCTGGTTTACTTGCTTAGCATGTGTGAGGCACTGGGTTTGATCCTTGAGAGAATTTTTAGGCATGAATCAAAAAGGAATCACTTGCACAAAGTCCAGAAGACTTTCTCAGTTGAGAAACGTGTGGACAGGCCATGCTGGAAAGAGTTCACAGAACAGAGGAATAGAGAGGAAAGTACTCAGTTTATTACAGATTAGAATGTGTATGAGGAAACTACCCCCAGGATAAGTCAAAAGCCAACCTAAAGGATTATAGGCTCTTAATGGAATGACTGGCACTTAAATAGGGGTAGGACTACTCTCTGTTTCTATGAACCCACCGTACTGGAAAATTGCAAAAAATCATGTGGCATTGGGTAAGTTTTTAATCTCAGTAACAGGTAATAATTAGTAGTGCTCCTAGATTGAGCATTACTACAGTCCCTCCTGAATATCTTAAAAGCAATTCCTTAAAAGAATTAAGCTGTTTCCAAGTAATTTAATTGTGTCCCAGAATAAAGCTTAAGAAGATTTATGGGAACACCGAAATATCCATTTCCCATCAAGGTAAAATTCAGAATGCCTAACATCAAATAAAATATTACCATTTAAGACATCAAATAACTCATAATGAGATAGATCTGTCAATTAATGTCAAACTAGAACTGACAAAGGTATTAGATTTAACAGGCAAGGACATTAAAAAGAGTTATTAAAACTAAATCCTGTAGTGTCCAAAAGTTAAATAGAGACACAGAAGATAAAATAAAACCCCAAATTAGACTAGAAGAATAAAATTACAATGTATGAGATGCAAAGTTTACTGAATAGCATTAATGGTAGATACACATTGCATAAGAAAGTTTTAGTGAAGATGTTTCAATAGAAATGGTACAGAATAAAATGTAGAAAATAAAGTTTTTTTTAATAGAATAATGATTATTAATTGTGAGTTGTGGAAAATTTCAGGTGACTTGAAGTTTCTGAAAGAGAGTAAGGAGGATCAAAACATTAGATGAATTCTCAGCTAAAAGTTTTTAAATTTAATGAAAGTTGTAAACTCACAGTTCCAAGAAGCTAAATGGAATCTTAGTACAATAAACATGACAAGGGTTACCTCAAGGCACAACAATAATAATCAAATTCTGAAGATA